ACTACTACTACTACTACTGATACTTCTTTTACTTCTACTACTGCTACTGCTACTGCTACCGCTACCGCTACTGCTCCTGCTCCGGCTGCTGCTGCTGCTACTGCAACTGCTACTACTACCAATACTAGTCTTAGAAAACAAATCAGAATAATAAAGTGATACTAACATTATCATAAGAATACTAGTAAGAACCTTAACAAACTTTGTAATAACTATACGACTATAACTACTACTACTACGACGACGACTACTACTACTGTTACGACTGCGGCTACTGCTACTTTACTACTGCTACTACTACTGCTGCTACTGCTATTGCTACCAGCGATACCAAATTGCAGCATTTTCACGGTGCCACCAGGCCGAAGAAGATACATGCCATTGTCAATGCTTCTGTCACAGATGCTTCCACTTTACGACTGTGATTTCGATCATTTCGGCCATCTAAGCGGCACACTGAGAGCCTTGAATGTAAACCATTGTCGTAGATACACTACCCGAAGGCAACCGGGCATATATACCCACACGCACGACTTCCATCGTCGCCGAGTAGCCAATCTCGGGAGTTGGGAGCCCATCCAAATTTAGGACCTTGAAGGAAAGGTTGGATGTCAAGTGAATGCTCTTAACATCGATGAACCTTGGTTCTAGACTCTACACACGTGGTCGGGGTTATGGGCCTGACTACCAGTCGTGCTAAAAGTAAAAGATGAGCATTGAGCTCATATGCACTGAAGATCGTACATAACATTGCTCCGGCACAGGCGCATACTGACTGTCCCGTATCTGCCGAGAAAAGGGAATGAAGAGTCGCACCTAAACGTGTGAGTCATCGCTGGTCTCGGCCGCCGTTGATTAAACTCCGTCTTGACGCTGCGCCTCAGCCTAAACCGTATGCTAAAACAAACCAAAAGCCTAAACCCAAAGAGGTCGAGGAGCACTTCGCCGAAAACCTGACATCAAAAACATCCACAAGGCAAGCCGAGCCGAGGCTTCAGCGGGCTCCCGGACCACGAGCGTGAAGTGCTCGGGCGCAGCGATCTGAATCGCGCGGACCGGGCCAAGAGCCTCACTTTGAACATGTCGTGACCTGTTCCGTTTCATTCCGAGTGTACCCTCCGTATTTAGAGCTTGCGGGCTGTAAGATTTCGGGCTACAAGAGCTTGTCTGCAAAACTAACCCATATTACTTCAGTAGTCGCGGTCTTAAAAGTTGCGGTCGTCGTAGAAGTTGCAGTAGGCAGTAGTAGTATCATTATTATTATAATTAGTAGTAGTAGTAGT